CATATGACTGGGTGGGACCTCAAGAGGCTTTCTGAGATACCCATATATTTGACTTCATACTTTAAAAAACTGAAAGATCAGAAATCAATGTGATGCTTTTTAATATAGAAATCTTGTGATACCACTCAAAGATCTTCAAAGAGGATGAAATTGAGGGGATGAAATAAGATAGACTCTTATTTATTTGAATGTTACTGTACTTATTATCTCTTGAAACTTATATTTTGCATGTGTGGTTTTTTCTAAAAGAAAGCTCCTTGGTTTTATAGGGCTAAATTGTTCCTAGCCCTTACTCAGTCATGATGAGAGTAAAGGGGAGTGAAGCTTCCCCTACTCAACAAAATAATAGCTTACTCAGATTACAGCTCCAGTTCAGAGTCCTCTCCATGTGGGCAGAAGGAGCTATTTACCCAGCCTTCTCAAATCTCATGAATAAGGGAGGGAGTGGGCCAGGGAGAATAGAGAGGAGCCTTGGCTGTGGTCCTCCTTGCTGACTCTCTCCTTTTAACACAACCTGCCACACCACACCAGGGAACAATAAGGAAGAAGAGATTCTAAGATGGATAGCTATGTTCTATACCAGAAGTTCCCAAACTTTTTGACATGGGGACCAGTAAATCCATTCATGAGCTTTGGGAGGACCAGTAACATTCATTTGCATATTTGCATAATCATTAAGCAAATGATGAATATTCAAATAAGTTGTTTCTGGTCCTAAGCTGGGGGGAGAGGTAGATATGCTTAAGGGCAGAGATAGGATCCAGAGTGACTTACACAAATTGGAGGATTGGGCCACTAGAAATCTCATGAGATTCAACAAAGACAAGTGTAGAGTCCTGCACTTGGGACGGAAGAATCCCAAGCATAGTTACAGGCTGGGGACCAACCAGTTAAGTAGTAGTTCTGCAGAAAAGGACCTGGGGGTTACAGTGGATGAGAAGCTAGATATGAGTCAACAGTGTGCCCTTGTAGCCAAGAAGGCTAATGGCATATTAGGATGCATTAAGAGGAGCATTGCCAGCAGATCCAGAGATGTCATTATTCCCCTTTATTCGGCTTTGGTGAGGCCACATCTGGAGTACTGTGTCCAGTTCTGGGCCCCCCACTACAAAAAGGATGCGGACGCATTGGAGAGGGTCCAGCGGAGGGCAACCAAAATGATTAGGGGTCTGGAGCATATGACCTACGAGGAGAGGCTGAGGGACTTGGGTCTGTTTAGTCTGCAGAAGCGAAGAGTGAGGGGGGACTTGATAGCAGCCTTCAACTTCCTATTCCATTCAAGTATCTGAATATGCATCAGAAATGAATGAAATATACCCTCTGAACATGAATATCCCTGTTAAGCGGGTAGCAGATGAAGAGTGGAAAATAATCTAACAACCCGCAAATCTATTCTATACCAGGTATCACATACAGCATATTTCTAGTGGGTTTTCAGAATGTTATGCCTCTACAGCAGGAAGATCTTGATTTGCTGTCATAGCTGAATAAGCGGAAATTTTTTTTACTGTGGCTCTTGGTGTTCTTCTTCTTACATTGATTAAATGTATTGCAACTAATATGCTGTGATACTCAGAGGCAACAACAAGGCTATTTCCAAAGGAGAGCAACACGTTCATAATGTACAATTGATTAATTATAACAGAAACCACCATTGCAGCTAAAAAGAGCCTATTGGCTTCAAAAGTGAAAGCCATGAATTAGGCACTATGTCACCAGTGAAGTCCCCAGTTTTCATGCTGTGTTAACCCTTACACGTGGAATAATAATTAACAATAATCTGCTTACAGTGGAAATGTCTTGGAGAAAATCATGGAGGGGATCCTCAAGGAATCCATTTTGAAGCACATGGAAAAGGGGAAAGTGATCAGGAATAGTTAACATGGGAAGTCGTGCCTGACCAATCTCATTAGCTTCTATGATGAGGTAACAGGCTCTGTGGATATGGGAAAATCAGTGAATATGATATACCTTGACTTTAGCAAAACTTTTGATACGGTCTCCCACAATATTCTTCCCAGCAAGTTAAGGGAATATGGATTGGATAAATGGACTGTAAGATGGATAGAAAGCTGGCTAGACCAGGGTTTCCCAAACTTTTTACTTTAGTTGGAACCTGTTTTTTTCAGTACTGTTTTTTGCAGCCCAAAAATATAAACACACATAAAAAAAGAATTAAAAACGAATAAATTTTCAGTGTTTCACCCTGCTGCATCCTCTGCCAAGCCTGGGCCAGGGCTTGAGGGACCCGATGCCGCATGGGCACTCCAGGAGGCAGGAGCAGATTGGGGGTAGGGTATCTGACTAGGAGAGAGGGTGCAAGGAGGGGTAGGGTAGGGTTGCCAGGTGTCCAGTTTTGTACCGGACAGTCTGGTATTTGAAGGTTTTGTCGGGGAAACAAATTGAGAAAATACGGACATATAAAATGTCCAGTATTTTCTAATTAGGTAAGTTTTATTATTATTAGGTATATCAGTCTGTAGCTGTGAACTGCCTGGCTGGTAGATGTGCTCATGCTGCGTGAGTGTGTCTACCAGCCAGGTAGTTCGCAACTACTCGAGGGATGGCATGGGGGGGCAGGAGGGGATTGGAAATCCTGGGGCTGGACTCACTCGTGTGCCCGAGTCTGCATGTGCCCGGGTCAGTCCCGCTTCCCACCGGCCAATTTGCCCTCTCCTCTCCCCTCCCCACTTCTCCTCCCAATCTCCCCTGGCCAGCCCTGCTGCCCACATCCAGCCCGGCTTCTGGCGGCTGGTTCTCCCGTCCTCCTCCTCCCGATCTCCCCCGGCCAGCCCTGCTTCCACTGCCTGCCCACCCTGATCTCCGCCAGACAGCCCCGCTGCCCCCAACCCTGTTTCCCAGCAGCGGGTCTCTCTCTCTCTCTCTCTCTCTCTCTCTCTCTCTCACACTCACACTCACACTCACACTCACACTCACACACACCCCTCCCCGGCAGCCACACTGAGGCCCGGTATTTTTTAAGTGAAGGGTTGCTCCATGTGGTTCTCTGCTCTGGAATGAGGGGAAGGCTTTGTGTGATTTCCCCACCCCCATCTCAGTCCTCAGCTCTATTGGCCAGAAACAGCCAACCAAAAGGAATGGACTCCAGTTAATCTCTCAGTTCCTATTGGCCAGAAACAACCAGCCAATAGGAGCTGAGATTGGCCTAGGGGACAGGGACAGCGCAAGCCTCTATCCCCTCCCGAGCTGAGAGCTGCATGGAGGGAACAGAGGAAGGGAGCCCAGCCTGCCTTTGGGGTGCTGCAGGGTTGCTGACTGGGAGACACTTAGGTAAGGGCCTCCCAGCCAAAGCCTACCTCTGGCACCCCTGCCTCTCCCACACCCCAACTCCCTCCACCAGGTCACCATCCAAACCCTCTGCACCCCTCTGTCCCAGGTCATAACTCCCTCCCAGAACCTGTATCCCTTCCTACACCTCTTCCCCCAGGCCAGAATTCTCTCCTGTACCTATACTCCCTCCCTGATCTTACACCCTAAACCCCTGAACCAGGTCACAACCCCCTAGGACTCCACACCACCTCCACAGAAAAGTGCAGCCCTTGACCACTTTCCAAATTCTTGGAGTGCCCCTCCCCCCCAAAATTATTGCCCTCCCCTGGTCTGAATGATACAGATTAGAAGAACATATCTATTTTTTCTGCTGAAGCACAAATTAATTATATAACTAAATAGACCCAAAATACCACATGGTCCTCTTTTTTTTTTTTTTTTTTTTTTTTGGAGAGAGAGAGAGAGACCGAGACCGAGAGACCGCCCATGCTTTTCTGAAGCATTTTTAATGTTTGTACGGAGCATGTTAGAATGACGGTCATTATAAAATGATGTAACATACAAAGTGTGATATTGAGGATTGTGACATAGCTCCTCCTTAACTGTGGTGGGCCCCACACTTTCAGGCACTTTACTTACCTCAGAGGCTCACATCAGCCCTCAATTTAGACACCATTTTGCTGTTTGTTGAGATACTCTTATCATTGGCCAGCATGGTAAAAAGAGAGAAAACCAAATTTCATAGTCTCTGTGATATAGGACAGGACATAACCAGTCTCTCTTTAGTACTGGAATGGAGAACTGGTAGTGTGGGAAACCTGGGCCCACCATCTACTCTAGTTTCCAGCCCAGGAACCCTGTGATAGAAACTGTCTACAATGTCTCTGGTAACATCTGCGTAACAGCTACGAATCCCCTATGCCATTTCCTCATAGTCTTCCTCGGAACCTTCCCTATGGCAGGTTCTTTCTCCTGGTATCTGCTTTTACTTTCTCCTCTCAGACTCTCCACAGCTCCCTCTCTCCCCAAACTCCTCGTGCACTCTGAGCTACCAGAAAGGGAGCCCATTTTAACCAGTCTCAACTGGTTCTTCAAAGGCCCCAGGTGTTCTGACTAGTCTAACTCACTTGACTCTGGACAAGTCTGGCTACAGGTGACTTATTTGCCCTGATTGGTTCTGGTAAATTCCTGCAGGTTCTGGTTTAGCCCTTATTAGTTTACCCTGGGAAAAGAGACTTAATCTAGGGCTAATATTTCTCTCCTAACACTTATTTTCTTGTACCCCTCTGGCCCAACCCTGTCACAGAATGGAAAAGTAAAATCTTTTTTGGCTTGTACTACTGTTTTTTTTTATTACGAAGAGGATCTTAAAGAATGTAGGAATAATCTTATAATTGTGCGTATAGAGGCTAAATGTGTTGTAAATGTTAAGTTTAAGAACTTTTTTAGATATTCTTGCAGTTTAATAACATTATTTAATAGTCCAGAAGAAGAAATTTAAATTTGTGAATAAGTGTATTACCAGGATATCCTAATTTGATTACTGTATTGTTTGGCAAACCAAAAAGGAATGATTTTTTTCATTTATTTTTGTATATGCCTGTTTTTTCTCCAAAGGAGTTGAAGTTTACATGCTTTTATGTTGAAATAATAATGGAAGGGGATTCAAGTAGAGTGTGTTAATGAACTTTTCCACTGCTTTGTGGCAGAGGGACTCCATGAAAGATGACAGAAGAAGTTATTGTTATAGCCAAGTGGGATTATACTGCACAACAGGACCAAGAACTTGACATCAAGAAGAACGAGCGTCTTTGGCTACTGGATGATTCCAAAACATGGTGGAGGGTAAGAAATGCGGCCAACAAAACGGGATATGTGCCATCAAATTACGTGGAGCGAAAGAACAGCTTGAAGAAAGGCTCCCTGGTTAAAAATCTAAAAGACACATTGGGTAAGTCTTATACAACTAGTGACTTTTAAATTAGAGTGTTAAAAATGAATTTGTCTCAGTAAAATGAATGCTTTGGGGGGATTTTGTAGTTATGGGAGGTAGTGCTTGATCAATTTTTTTTCCACAAAACATTAATGTGGTCAGTAACGATTTTGCTCATATCTATGTGCATGTTAAGTAGAGCAAGAAACATTTTTTTTCAGTCGTATGCACCATGTTCATTTTAAGGATGTTAAGAGGCAGGTAATTGGCTAATAGTAGTCGATACAATTTGTATTGACTACACAATTAGTCAATAAGGGAAGGTACTCAGTCCTGGCTCACGCCTGGTCCGGTAGCTACCCCCACTGCGGTTCTACATTTTAAATGTAGTAGGAGCTGGGCTTGCAGGCATCCCGGCTCTTACTACATCTAAACTGCAGAGGTGCAGCAGGGGTAGGTCCAGGAGCTGGCATGAGCCAGGACTGAGTTAGCCCAGCTCAGTCCCAGCTCTTGCCAGGTTGGGAGCTAACCCACTGTGGCTCTGCATTTAAAATGCAGTGCCACAGCAGTCCCTGACCTGTGCAAGCCTGGACTGAACCGGACTTGCTCAGTCCCAACTTACGTCTCCCCACAGACAGTGACTGTTCTAAGGGATGTGGAGCAGCTTCTGCCCATAGCGAGCTTGGGTTCACCGCAGGCAGAGGCTGCTTCGTGGCAGTCTCCCCTTCCCTCATTATACCCCACTGTTGCCTCTGATACAGAGGCAGGAAATGGGGGTAATGCAAGTAATCAAGTAATTGACTTGACTACACAATAAGCCTAGACTTAGTTGATTACTCACTTACATCCCTGGTTCATAGTAGTAGCGCTTGATTATTTTTTTTTCATTAACCTGAGGGTGTTTTCTAACTCTTCTAAAAGTCCAAATGGAAGCAATGGAAATGAATATCCTGATATTTCAACCATTACTTATATCTGCCTACCAGTTCCCCCCAAGAACACATAAAGAAAAGTATAAATGCTTACATTTTTAAGAAGTTAAGTTGTTTTGATGAGGTGTATCTGAAAGTCACCTATACACGTTTAATCTTTTCACCACTAAATTTTTGAATTTGTTGCAAAATTCATCAAATATGTGATTCTTGCAGATTGAATACTTTAAGAAGCATTCTATATTGGACTAAGAGTAATAGCATAAACTTGAAAGGTTTTTACTGTGCTTTTTTAGACTTTGGGTCCTCATTTCTGGAATTTCTTGTACTGATGTTGGTAATTACGACTTTTCCTTAATTAAATATAACTTTTAAGTGCTTATAGCTATAGCTAAAGGCTGTTATAAACATAGTGATGTTTCAGGATGTATTTATTAAAATAGAAACAATTATAAAGCAAGAGAAAAGTTGGCTGAGAAAAGAATGGTGTGAGGAAACTGAAAAAATAGGAGAAAATTATTTAATTTAATTTTTTTTCTAATGTTTTGAGCTTCCAGCAGAAACTCTCAAATTATAGGCTGAAAACTGTCAACTACAAACCAAAAATTTCAATTTGGAAATGCTAACCTGCTACTTCGTGGAAGTTCTAGTTTGCCTTGTGTCTTTTTTCTTTGATGGGGAAGGGACTCAGCTCTGCGGAGCCCACTGCAAATTGGCAGGAGGGGCACGCCAGCCCAGCCGGAGCAGCTTCTGTCTGCAGCAGCCTGGTCCAGGTGCATTTCAGGCAGGAGGGCTCTAGCCTAACCAGGACAACCCATGTCCATGGCCGGGGAATGGGACACTCCAATCCAGCTGGATTAGAGCTACCTTCCGTCTCCCCCATCTGCCATAATTTAGATCAGTTAACTGGTTAAATGGGATTTTACATCCCTAGTAGGGAACCTGCCAGCCCCACCAACTCTTCTCCAGTACCAGCAGGGGTCCCAGCCCTCTACCTTTCCACGCAACCTTGTGGGCCCTGGACCTCAGAGCACCCATGATTTAGTGTGGGGTGTATAATACAAGTCATGGAAGGTCACTGGCTGTGAATTTTTGTTTACTGCCTTTGACCTGTCCATGACTTTTATTAAGTAAAAGATATAATGGCAAAAATGTAACCTTAGCTATAGTGTACTATGGAATAGGCGGTCCAACTTGAGAACCTAGCCTAAAGAGGAACCTCAAGTACTTGTCCACAAGTGGGCATGACAGCCTCTGCAAGCCAGATTCAACCTCCCAAGCCCTTTGATGTGGCTTTTGGCCACTCCCACTCCCCCAGGCAATTGAGACGTGGGGGCAACGGGAGTGCACAAAGTCTCCTCTCCCCCCTCCCCCACCAGGGGCATGCGGCACCAGAGGGAATTGCCAGCTAGTGGTTTTCATTAGGCACTTTGCACCCCTGACAGGATGGAGGTGGGGTGCAAAGACTTCACATGCTCCCCCACCCCCAGGCCAATCAGAATCTGTGGGTGTGGGAATGCATGAAGTCTCCCAGCCTTGCCCCTTCTGCCCAAGGCCACGCCCCTTCTGAAATTCATGAAGTAGCCCCCCTTCAAAAATTATTGCCCATCCCTGTACTAGTCCCATGAGGGGGAACAAAAGCATTTCCAAATGAAAATTTGTTAATGTTCATCAAAAATATTCAGTTTTCAGTTATTGGCTTTTTTGACACAAAGTAAAAATCAGTGTAGAAAGCAAATACTTTTGAGGAAAAAAATCCATTGTTTTGTTGAAAACACAATTTTCCATTGAGAAATTTTCAGTGGTCCTACGTACTGTCCATCCAGCTCCTTCTCATGTCTCTCTTACTTTTCATATCTAAAATAGCACTTTTAATAGCATTTTTATGAGGACTAAGTGATTTCCAGTCTGTGCTGGGACTGGGCTTTTCTTCATTGCTATGAGTACCTCCACCCCAATGTTACCAGGATATTTGGGACATACGTATACTCTTCCTTTAGCAGCCTGCCCTTTTTTCTAATCTCTTTTTTGTAGTTTGTTTCAA